AACAAGCAGCATATCACATATAGTATATACATAAACGTATGACTGAAACAAAAATGTCATAAAATGGTCCTTAAGGATGATGGAATATTCTGCTGCCTTTCACTCCGCTCTTTGGTGTGTGGGGCAGGGGTCGGGTCCTGGTTGTGACCCATTACATTGATTCCATAACTCACTTGGAACTTGGGGGATACTGTCCAGTTTGAAAAACAAGAATAAAAGAAACTCATTTATGGTGCTTTCTTCCTTTTTTCTTTTTCTTCCTTTTCTCTTTTGTCTTGTGCTTTCTTAATACAGATTTTCTCTTGTCCAAGCCTCTCTTTTGCTCTCTACACTGGCTCTAGTTTAACGGCACCCTTGAAGGATGATCAAAGTAGAGAAGAGGCCCGCCGTCATTCTGCTCTGTCAACACAGAATGCCCTTCCCTGTAAGACATCGTCAATTATCTGTGCACCGAAAAGACCCAGACCATGTAGAGAACTCGTCTGCAAAATCACTCCAAGATCACCAGGACATTGTGAGGGTGGCCACGGGGCCTTAAGCTTCTCCAGAGAGAGATCTGGTGGAAGGGGATGTTGTGATGCTGGGCACTGCCTCTGTAGTCCGGCGTCTGGCTCGGTTAGGCTGGTTTCCCCTCAGATGTTCACTACCTTAGTAGTGTATTCCTCCTGATAACGTTTGGCACAGTGTGGAATTCTAAAAGGTGCCTTGCAGTCCTGTCTGACGATAACTAGTGACAGCCCTTGTGCCTAAAACATCATTTCAGACACTCTCGGGTCTCATTTTCTTCAGCTCAGGATCTGACTATACACTGCAGATAGACCCTGTACACTGGTACCACAGACTCCAAGCCTGGCCACAAGCTGAGGTCCCTGCCCACGGACTAAGTTAAGTTTTTACTCTGAAAACCTTCCCAGACCCTCCCAACCCTGGATCCCCAACTTGCCTGTCCACAGTTTCCTGAGGGCAGTTGTAGACCTAGAGAGGGGCACCCCAGAGGAGAGGGGTGGGCCGCGGGAAGAGCCTGAAGCCACCCACACATGCATAGTGGGGCAGCCGTCTCAGACCACAGAACCTATGCAGCTGTCCCCAGGGCCAGCTCTCCCTCTGCTGTTCCCCGCTGCACCCCAAGGGGGCAGCCTTGGTAAAGTGGCCCAGGTTCTGGCTGCAGCAAGTTGTACATTTGTGGTCTGTCACCCCGACACACTGCTCTGGCTTCACATGACCAACACGCCCCGGGCTGTGCATTGCTTGCACTGGCTTGATTTCACTTCTGGAAATAGCCCCCTTCCCTTAGGGGTGCAACCCCCCAGGACACAGAAGTGTTCTGTGAACACGTGCTCTCTTCCCCTTGGAACTGGTGTGGCAAGGATATGATGGCTTCCTTCCCAAAATAAGACTTCTTGTCCATTCTCATAGGACACGTGTTAACTATAACCTTCGGGCTTGTCTTTTCACCACAGGACGTAAATTCATAAAGGGTTTGAGAATAGCAAGTAATTGATCAATTTTTAGGTTATTATTTATAAATCCATCATAGGAATTCTAAGCTATTCCATTATGTGAGAGAAATGGGCTGAATCCCCAAGGTTACTTACCTTAAAAATCCCTCATATTTGAGTATGCATTCTAACATGTCAATTATTGAATAACCCTAGAAATGTGAAATGTTAAATTATTTTTAAAGCATGTGTACTTTGGGTTTTAAATATCCAGATCCCCATTTTAAGTTGAGGTAAATCTTGTGCATATGATTGCAGAAAAAACAGAACTGTATTCATTGTTGCAATTAGTATATCGAAAACACTGGATTATGTACATGGATGGTACCTTACGTGACAACATCTAAGGATTCTGCTTGGAGAAAAAAATGCACAATTTTTCTCTGACTCAACATTGTGTTTGTTATACTGTTGGAAAAAAGGTCCTACTGATTGGTCCTGGGCAGTTAGAGATTTCTGTTGATTTTAGGAGGGACTTCATGTTGCAAGTGTCAGAAAATTGCTGAGTATCAGCTCACACACATTCGAGGGAGGCACCACAGGGGAGCAGTTACAAGCATGGGTTTGCCAACTGTGAGTGTGTGACCCCGGGCAAGCGACCTAACATTTCTATTCCCCAGTTTCCTCATCTGCAAAATGGGGATAATAATAGAAAAACAACTCACCTCAACAGGTCCTTGGGAGAATTAAATGGAGGAGCGGGGTTAAGGTGCTTAGAGCCCTTCGTGCCGAGATGTTTGCTATCATTTGTTGTTAATCACACAAAGGTCTTCTACGAGCCCATGAGAGATCAGTGCTGTTTGGCTGCTGATTTAATAATTGTGTTTATTAGGGGCTTAAAATACCAATAACATCAAACCAGCCTCCCCAATGCCACTTACAGTAATATTCAGCAAATATATAATAGATGCCCCAATGATGGCTGTGTAAGTTACTCTATCACAGAACATCCCCCAAATCCATGGCAAGGCACAGCCCGTGCACTACACTAATCCAAACCATAGTCTTCTTTCCAGAAGATGTGGTCCAGAGAGTGGCCACTGTGGGTGAATCCCCCCAGCCGCCTCCACCAGCTCCCTCTCCCCCAGCTGACTGGTCTCTGCCAGTCATAGTGGTGCCCTTGGCAGTGACAGCTCAGTAAGTGTGGTCCTGGAGCCGTGTGGAGGGTCTTCTGGGTGCTTCTAAGAAGAAGCTACAGGGAGCTGGGCCCCCTCCTTGGGGGCTGTGAATAGGCCAGCGGTAGCTCGCATCACTGGGGGCGGTCACCGGTCAGCCTCTTGGGAACCAGCCCTGGAATCAAGCTGACAATGGACGACAGGTCAGTAACCCAAAGAGCTTGGAGCTTGGGGGATACTCTCTAGCCCTGAACCTGCCCTGCTTTCCCACTTCTTGTTGAGCTGATTTCCTAACTGTCTAAACCAGCGTGAGGTTGGTTTCCCTTTACTTGCTATTGGAAACAGACGACTTAGTGTGGATACATTTGTCCTCTTGACTGACACTTAATACGTGGAAGCACAGAAGTTTCCCTGCTCACAGCAGCCGCGTATCACAGGCTGAATCCGTGAAGGGAAGAATATTCCAGCATGTGGTTGACTTTGCCCCACAGCAGAAAGAAACTCGGGGGCTTCCCTGGTGGCGCAGTGGTTAAGAATCCGCCTGCCAATGCAGGGGACACGGATTCGAGCCCTGGTCTGGGAAGATCCCACATGCCACGGAACATCTAAGCCTGTGCACCACAGCTACCGAGCCTGCACTCTAGAGCCTCCGAGCCACAACTACTGAGCCCTCATGCCACAACTACTGACCCGCGCGCCTAGAGCCCGTGCTCTGCAACAAGAGAAGCCACCCAATGAGAAGCCCACGCACCGCAACGAAGAGTAGCCCCCGTTCACCACAACTAGAGAAAAGCCCGCGCACAACAGCAAAGACCCAATGCAGCCAAAAATAAAAATAATTTTTTTAAAAAAGGAAAAAAAAAGAAAGAAACTCGGGTTCCATCAGCTCCTACCACTCCCACCCCAGGTGGCCTCAGTCCCCACGTAGAGCCTCAGTGTTCAGTGATGCCATTTATACTGTCAATCAAACGAGAGGCTGAACTAGATCGGAAAAGGACTCTGACCTGGTTCTGGGGCTACAGCAGGGCCGTCAGGGTCGGTGCACACCAGCACACCACCTGGGCATCAGCCCCTCACGCCTCACCTGCCCAGGCTGCTTCCAAAAGAGAACGAGTGGTCAGGGAATCTATCAGCCTCAGCAGAACAACTCAGAGTATATTTCTGACATGTATTAATAGAAGACTTATTAGGACCCAGGAGCTCAATCAGTGTCCCGGGTCACTACCATGTTCCAGTGTGCTCTGCGTTAGTGACAACGAACAGAGTTCTTCCTGCTTATGAGTCCAGACTGGAGAGACACATCCAGTCTCAGGAAAGCTGTGAAACCACCAGAGTGTAAAGTAAGTGCTACCTGCTTTCCAGTGTCACAGCCTTCGGTCCACTTCTACAAACGCCAGGTGTGCGCTGTGTCCCCTGATCTCTTTGGGAAGCTGGAAGGGTCTCCGGGTGACAGGTGAAGGCACCGGGGCTCAGGGCTCCTGGAGTGTGTTCTGGTTTCTAAGCCACAGCACAGCTTCCTCTCTAGAAACACAGCCTCTGCTGGGGATGTGCCCAGGGGCTTCCCTGTGCCTGGGGAGAGCAGGTATCGTGGGGCCTTGGGCAACTACTCCTCCAGCCTCTGGGCCCGAGTTACTCTGGGCTCACCCAGTGGACAGACGGTGACATGAACATGTAAGATGAGCTGGCCAGAGAGAAGGGCAGGGGAGGGACAATGAACCAAATCAACCAGTAGAAATCGGATGAAATGAGTCCACGCAGAACCATGGGGAGGCCAGGTGAAAACAAGGCCCAGGTAACCAGGCAGATCCTCACCCAGTCACACGCGAGCTGTGCAGGACCTCTGTGGCTACTTCTTTGACAAAACCCAACCAGTATGTTTTAGCTACAACCCAGGTGTTTTTCTCAGGGTTAACTATTCACTGAGAATAAAAGCCCTATCACATCTTCTTTACGGAGTATCAGAAGCAGGATGTTATACAGTAAAAGAGGCCTTCCAGATGACTTCCAGACATAATTCTACCCGGAGCTCAGAAACTGACAATGGGCAGTGGCACGGGCAGGTTGGAGAAGCGCCCACTTCCTTGTGCTGAAGTCTTGTTGTGCTTTCTAAAGGCTCAAAGGGTCTAGAAGGCCCATTTCAATATGTCTGATGATGAAAATGAAAGTCCTCAAAAATTAATAAGAAGGCCTCTCTAATCACTTACTTTGAATCATTAATTAAATGTTTGACCAAACATTTTAAAAGAACTGCAAACTAGAAAAAAAAATTCCCCTAAAAATATTTAATGTAAATAACTCCTGGAGATGGTGCTTTTTACAAAATGTTTGTCAGCAAATGCCTTTTTCAGGGGACAGGGCAGCAGGAAGATGGGGACAGGACATCAGAAAGTGTGATGATGGTTTTTTATTTCGATGAGAGTAACAAGGAGTCCCCCCACCACTCTGCTTTATGTAAAAACACGTCCAGCATCATGAGCAGCAGTCATCAGCGGGGAGGTGACTGAGCCCCAGGCGCCCAGAGAGGATCTTCAAGCCACTATTTCTGTGCTCCCTCACTGTGTCCAGAGCCACTGGCCAAGACCACGAATTCACCTTCTGATTGCATCTTGTTTTCTCTCCTTTTGTCTCTTTCAAGGCTTCAGGAATACAGCAGAAGGATCACCGTGTCGAAAACAAGAAGAGTTCTCACAAGCGTAACGACGTCAGCTTGTGCGGGGTAAACTCAGGAAGGCACACAATAAATTAAAGCAGACCTCTGTCTCTTCGGAGGGTCTGCAGTGACCTCTGGGGGCGGGGGCCGGATCTGCCAGCAGTGGAGTTTCCCGCACTACTCTGGCGTTGGGACTGCTGTGGGGAGGAAGGAATATCTCCTTTCGGAAGCCCTGTCGGTCTGCAGGTCGAGTGGGCGGGCGGGCACTTGGAGGAGAGAGTCCTCCCCTTGTGCTCCAGTGCCACGTGGCCCTGCACCCTCCGTGGTAAGGGAGACCCTCCTGGTGTCGCCTCCTTGCGCCACAGCCAGTACTGGTGGCAGATTAGTCCACAGGACTCCATCTACCATTTACTTAAGTAAATCCCTTGGAAAAAATAAAACTGGAGGTTGTTGCTCAGTAAAACAATAAAGTGCTTTTGATGAGAGTAGCTGTTATTTGCTGGTTGTTTCTCATTTCACCTGAGGCACTGACATCAACAACGTGAAAGGTCATCATGTTTACCAGGAGTAAAAATTGTAAAAGCTTGTTTCTACTAAAAAGCTTGCATTTCTAAAATGTACTTCTCTATTGGTTTCCACGTCTTCATGTTACTAAATTTTAACTCACTACTGGAAAAGGAAATAGTTTATGCCTGGGGCGGGGGTGGAAAACACGAAGACAGAAAAGGTCCATAAATATCCCTTAAGGGTTCCACTTGTGAAGGTGTGAGAGAGGGGTTACAGCAAACAAGGTCAGCCCCCATGCTGAATCGAGATGTGTGTCCAGATGAGTGGAGACACAGATTGGCTTCTGGAAGGGTCCACGCATCAACCTAAGAGTGTACTCTGAGTCCACGTGCTTGATAACTGCTATAACACACTCGCATCTTCCATGGCTTCGATCCACCTGCAACACAGAAGAGAGGGGACACTTGGTGTTGAGGCTCTGCCTGGAACCCTGGTCACGGAACCCATGAATGATGAGACTACGTTATTATTAGCCTGAAGTCAGCAACCGTGTCCTACTATATTTGTTTCCCTAGCATTTAGCAAAACGCCTAGAGTACAGTGCAAAGGTTGCTGAATCAATGCACACCTGTGTGAATGAGTCATAATACAGGCAGACCTCATTTTATTGTGCTTTGCTTTACTGTGCTCAGAGATACTGCATTTTCTATAAGTGAAGGTTTGTGGAAACCCTATGTCCAGCAAGTCTAGCAGCACCATTTTTCCAACAGTATTTGCTCAGTCTGTGTCTCTGTATCATATTTTGGCAGTTCTCACAATATTCCAAACTTTTCCATTGTTACTGTATTTGTTATGGTGACCTGTGACCAGTGATCTTTGATGTCACTATTAGAAAAACATCATGACTTGTTAAAGGCTCGGATGATGGTTAGCATATTTTAGCAGTAAAGTTTTTTCAAATCAAGGTATGTACATTTTTTTTAGATGTAATGCTATTGCAGAGGTAGCAGACTACAGTATAAACGTAACTTTTTACGCACTGGCCAACCAAAAAGTTTGTGACTCGCTTTGCTTCAACATTCGCTTCACTGTGGTGGTCTGGAACCGAACCCGCAATATGTCTGAGGTCTGCCTGTGAATTTAAATCTGCTGTTCTGCTGTGGCCCGAGGGGACTTGAAAGGACAGGATGGATGGAGAAGAACAGAAGCCAAAGCCCAGGGCGACAGCTCGTTCCCTTCTGAGAGACAGACTAGTTATTTTGGTACCTCTGAGCCGAATTGGTATCCTCTGCTTTGAAGCTATAAAATACGGTTTTCTTGTGGTAAAGGTGAAAAATAGGTCCTACTTCGCTGCTGCCCTCCTCCTTTTCTGGCGCAATGGTGAAACCTAGGAGGGGCATGCTCTCCAAGGCCACTGTGTCCTGCAGGGAGGCAAAGGGAAAAGTGATGTTAAACACGGCAAGATACCCAGTCAGCAGCTTAACAGTCACTGATGCTTCCAATGTAACATGCACGACGAGCCCCTCTGTGTGGGGCATCTCTGGCAACGGTGCAATTATCACACACATACTCTTCACTCCCACTTCCCCGCCAGCACCAGTCACGAGGAAGAAAAGAAACTTAACATTTTGTGACAGCATTTAGGGTCCAGGCACATTCACTTTCATATTATCTTGTTTAATCTTTGTACCAATCATAGAAGGTGTCACCCCCATTCTAAGAAGAAACTGAGGCTCAAGGAAGGTAAATAACTCCCCAAGATCACCCAGCGAGTAAGGGGCAGAGCCAGTGTTTGGACTCGAGACCACTTTCTAAAACCCCACATTCTTTCCACTGACTCGATTTATCAGTGACTCAGATTTCTAGTGTTACCCTCGTTAACGTATTCTGTACTCATTCCCCCAGGTCCTCTTTCACAGCGCTTCAATATGGAGCACTCAGGGTGTCCGTGCTATAGAGCTGCTTACAATTCAGTGAGATGCACCCAGAGAACACAGATGAATCTTAAAATCACAGTGCTTAGTGGAAAAAGAAAGAGCTTTTTATATATAAAGATATTTTTATACACACATATTTATGTAAAAATACATGTTCATAAAGAATACAACTTTATAAAATCACATATAAACAAAGATATATAATTAGTTAAGCACATTAGAATGATTGTGGGAGGAGGGGGGGAGTAGAGTTTGTGTCTAAAAGGGAATCAATTTTCAAAGACTGCTAGATCAGTGCTCCTTTGGCAGCACATATACTAAAATTGAAACGATACAGAGATTAGCATGGCCCCCGAGCCAGGATGACATGCAAATTTGTGAAGCGTTCCATATTTTTATTATACAGCAGAAACTAACACACCATTGTAAAGCAATTATACTCCAATAAAGATGTTTAAGAAAAAAAAGACTGCTAGATCAGAAAAAACTTTTGACAAAATTCAACATCCATTCATGATAAAAACTCATAGCAAACTAGGAATAGAAGGGAACTTCCTTAATCTGACCAAGGGCATCTATAAAATACCTACCAGTAACATCATACTTAAGAGCGAAATAGTGAATCCTTTTCTCTTAAGATTGAGACAAAGCAAGAGGATGCTCACCCTTACCAATTAAATTCAAAATTGTACTGAAACCTCTAAAAAGAACAAAGTTGGAGGACTTACATGACCTGACTTAAGGCTTACTATATAAAGTTATAGTAATAAGACAGACAGTATGGTATTGGCATAAGGTTTGGTAAATATATCAGTAAAACAGAATAGGGAGCCCAGAAATAGACCCACACTTCGTCATTTAATATTTAATAAAGACACCAAAATAATCCAATAAGAAAAGGAAAGTCTTTTCAACAAATGGTGCTGGAACAACTGGATATCCACAGGGGAAAAATTGAGCCTTGGCCCCTATCTCACACCATACACAAAAATTAATTTGAGATAGACCTAAATGTAAAAGCTAAAACATTAAAGTTTTCAAAAGAAAATATGGGGAAAACAACTTTGTGACTTACAGTAGTCGGAAGTTTCTTAGGACATGAAAGCAACAGCCAAAAAGGAAAACATTAATTGACCTCATTAAAGTTATAAACTTCTGTTCACCAAAAGATTGATTCATTCATTTAAAAAAATGAACAGACAAGCCACAGACTGGGAAAGAATATTCACAAAACATCTATCTGATAAAAGACTGGTAGCCAAGGTACAGAAAGAATTCCTGTAACTCAGTAACAAACAATCTACTCTAAAAAATGGGCAAGAGATCCGAACAGACACTTCTCAAAGAAAAAAATATATATAGCCAACAGACACACGAAAAATATCATTAGTCACTAGGGAAATCTAAATTAAAACCACATTAAGATACTACCACACCCTCACCAGAATGGCTAAATTAAAGACTGACAATACCAAGTGCTGACAAACACATGGAACAACCAGAACTCCCAAATTTACCTACACTGTTGCAGGGACTGTTAAATGCTACACCATTCTGGAAAAATGTCTGCTAATTTCTTAGAAGCCAAATATATACCCTTCTGTGATCCAGAAATTCCAATCCTAGGTATTCACCCAAGGTGAAATAAAAACTATTTTCACACAAAAGCCTGTATGCAAAAGTTTAAATTGGCTTTATGCATAACTGCCTCAAATTGGAAACAACTCAAATGTCCTTCAACTGGTGAATGGACAAACTGGTATATTCACAAAACGGAGTACTACTCAGTCATAAAAGAAATGACCTACTACTGAATGCAACAACATGAATGAATCTCAAAAACATGCTGAGTGGAAAAAGTCACACATGATTCCATCTGTATGAAGATCTAAAAGAGATAACTAATATGCGGTAGGAAAAAAATCAAAACAGTGTGTTGCCTCTGGGGATAGGGGTGAGGTGGGGATTTACAGGGATATTCATTAGTCAAAACTCAACAGATAGTATCCTTAAGATTTGTGTACTTCATTATATATAAATTGTACCTCAAAAGAAAAAAAAGATACAGAAATATTGAACTCTTAGGAGGAAGTATACTTGAAAAGCATCAAAAAGTAAGACGGATGAGAGATGAATAGATATTTGTTCAAGGAAGTATAATAAAATGTTAATTGTATAATCTAGTTGATGCTTATAAGACCGTTCACTGTAAAATTCCTTCAACATTTCTTTATGTTTGAAATTTTTTAAACATAATAATAAATATATTAACTAAATAATAAAATATTGGAAAAAATTTAAAAGATTCCTATGTATTTCTGATAGTCACTCTCTCCCAGGACTGTTACTGACAGCAAGTTACATCTGGTTTGGGTTACCTCAGGGTACGTGACGGGGCTCATGGTAGTGTAGACAGTGAAAACTGGCTATCCATTTTATCAAATTTTTTTCTTTGATGGAATTTGAAAGCTTGGTCCTGTCATTGGTTTAGGCTTAGTGAGAAACTGTACAAGTTCCTCTCTCTGAAGAAGTGGCTTTGGAAGCATACTTAAATCCGTCTTTTAAAATTAACCCACACTCTCACTTCCATGACAACTGTTGCTCGGGACCCGGGGCCTCTGGGTTTTCCATTCTCAAACAGGATCCACTCTCTTTGGTGGTTGGTTAATTATCACTAGCCTTTGTTCATCTGTCTAAGCCAGTATTTCTTCCCCAAGTGTGTTTTCCATGAGATGCTCTGTGAGGAAGGGCCTGCTGTCAGGCCACCTTGGGACTCTCCACATCCTGGGGACCCACAACACGCCGTTGTTCGTTAGAGACTCAAAAGCACTACTGTGAGGAAGTCCCACAAACTGTCTACTCAGGGTTCTCTCAGAACCCAGTTCTCAGAGGGCCCCTGCGAGTGTCCTGTGGAATGCCTCCTTAGGAAGATGCCGCTCTGGGTTGCAGCACATTTCAGATTGTTCCAGAAAGATCCACATTCTCCTCAGCACGGAGAGCCCCATCTGTGGACCCATAAGCGAAAGGCCCCCTCAGGGGAGGGCTTGCCTCACACAGTGCCCGAGTCACTCAGGCCCACAGTGGGTCCCCTCTGTGTGTCTGCGTCCCTCCTGGCCTCTGGGATCCCTGAAGATGGGGCTGACTGCAGCCGGCGCAGCTGCAGGCCCCTCATGAGGGAAGCTTTATGCCAGGAAGAAGGCAGTGCCTTCTGCCCGGATGCCAGCATCTGTGGTCAGGGGAGAAGGGCCAGCCCTGTGCTGATGTGCACATCCTTGTGGGTAAAGCACCTACCCTGTGCAGCTGGGCAGAATGCATTTAAGTCCCATTTTCAAAGCGGATTTTGCCTGTGGAAACCATCAGATGGTGGGGCCTGGACACAGAAATCTTTCACATTATCCCACACGTTCAGCCTGGGCCAGGACCAGAGCGCCCCCTGCTGTACAGCCAAGCTCACACCTATCTACTCCAGAAGCAGGCTTGATCAAGGCCCTCTCTCTGATATTTTAGTAGACGTAAATGTAAGATGTTCCATGATATATATATATATATATATATATATATATATATATATATATATACACACACATAAACTTGAGTTTTACTTAGCAGAAGAGTTACCACAAGGCAATATAGTTCCCTGACAAATGCACAGACAAAAAGTAAAGAAGTGGGACTTCCCTGGTGGTCCAGTGGTTAAGAATCTGCCTTCTAATGCAGGGGATGCGGGTTCGATCCCTGGTTGGGGAACTAAGATCCCACATGCCATGGGGCAACTAAGCCCGCGCGCCACAACTACTGAGCCCACGCGCCTCAATTACAGAGCCCAAGCACTCTGGAGCCTATGCGCCACAACTAGAGAGAAGCCCATGTGCTGCAATGAAGATCCAGCATGCCGCAACTAAGACCTGATGCAACCTTAAATAAATAAGTAAGTAAGTATGGTAGCTTCCTCCAAGCTGCTGAATTTTGTCTCAAACAACTGAAGCGGAGAACACAAAGGCGCTCTCTTTTAGGGAGTGCCAGCTTGTCCTGGATGCTGGGGCTGTGATACCCAAATGCTATGCTGCACAAGCTTGCCTGCTGTACCGCCTTAGCCCCACAAAGAAACAGTAAATTACTCAGATTGGAAATGAACGCATGGCTGCATATCCACATGGCGTCCCTCAGTAAACACCTGACCGACGTGGGAACTGACGTGGGAACCAGATGCTAGACTCACACCGCCCTCTGGTGAGGCACAGTGCACACCCCACATAGACAGTCTGAGGCACAAGCTTAACCCACGGGCCCTCACGGGAGAGGAGAGAAAGCAGGAACCACACTACCTCACTGGCCATGTAGGTGTAGAGCACTTTGCCTTTGATGACAAACCAGAGCTTCTTCCAGTGCCTCTTCCCTTTCTTACAACGGCTGAGATAACCGCTGATGGCGGAGCCCTCTCCGGAGGCGGCCACCTGGCAGACGGAAGCAGGGCGGTCAGGGCACCAGGTAGTAGACACGGTTTACACAGAGCCAAAATGACACTGCGAACCCGCTGGCAGGGTGTTTATACTGCTTTGGAATCTGAGACTTGGATGATCTCGGGATCCACCCAGCACCTCAAAGGCAGCAAAACGGTACCATATCTGAGAGACAGGATTTACTGACAGGATTTGCGGATCCTAGACACTGGAATCAAAAACTGCCTGCAGGAGTGCTGCCCCCTGGTGGAGATTCAGATTCCTGGTTCCCTGCCCTCAACCCCCAAGCCCCCAAATTACAAAACTGCAGATATTTGGGGGAAAGTTTCTTCCTTCTAAAATTGATTCTTATACTTTTCAGCTTATTTCTTTCTTATATTTAAGAGGGGATCCCTTTTGTACTGTTTATCTGAAAGGTTTTATGACCTCCTGCCTAATGAGTTTGTTAACTCCTCTAAGTAGTAGTAGTAGTGGTTGTGGTCTGTTGAACAGGCTTCATAATGGGGGCTAAGAACACAGGCTTGGAGTAGGACCAATCTAGGGCTCCAGCACAGGCTCTACCAGCTACTAGAAGGGTAATGTCAGGCCACTTACGTCCTCAAAGTCTCAGTGTCCTTACTAGTAAAACTGGAATTAAGTGACATAAGACGGGTACCTGTCAGGTACAGTGCCTGACCCACAGTAAGTGCTCCATAAATATTCACCCTACTATGAGAGCAATAAAGCCAGGTTTTGAAATCATTTCATCTTTCTCATTTTACAGGTGGGGAAACTGAGGCCTAGAGGAATGGAGGGATCTACCAAAGGTCAAATCCTGACTTAGTTGAAGAGAGGGTAAGAACTCAGATCTCTCAGCAAATGCTCTGAAGGTCAGCTAACTTCAGTGTAGGGAGAGGAAGCTACAACCAGCCGGGTGTTTTGAGAAGTACCAGGAAAGGAACCTGCCCCTCTCCGGGTCCTAGGACTTCTAACACCAGACTCGACTTCTCTCCCCACACTTGACCTGCTGGACCAGCTCCAGAGTGAGAAAGGCAGAATGTACAGAACACATCAGGGAAACCGACTCTGCGGTCTCCCTCCCTGACAGATGCTCCAGAGGCAGCATTCCTGCAGACCTTCCCATGGGAAGCAGATCTCACTGCTAAGGTGGAGCTCCTGGGGGAAGAGGAGAGGGCGGAGAGGGACGGGCGCCCATTTCTTCTGGGGCTGCTGCAGAGCCCACGGTGTAGTCTTTGCTGAATAACAAAAAGGTTGTCACTTTGGGCAAAAACTGCCAACCTGGCTGGGGCAGATCCACACAGCACCAGGATCACAGTGCCCGGATACCCAAAGAGTGAGAACGGTTCTCGAACTCTGCACCCACAGAACACTCAGGTTCTATGAGCTCAGCTCATGCAGACACCACAGTGTGAGTGAGAAGGTGATCTTTTCTCAATTTGTGGAAAGGGACTAGTTAAATAAATGATGAGACAGCCACACAATGCAAGAAGTGTGAGATTTATGTGTATGAACTACTGTGAAATAATAATACTGAAGATAAATTAACTGGAAGAAATGTACAGAGGACCCAGTATATCATCTTTTGGGTAAAAAAAAAGGACCTATGATCGTCTATCTTTATTATGTATATGCACAAAAATTTCTGGAAGGGTCCATAAGAAACTTGATGGTGGTTACCTTTGAGGGGTGGGACTGAAGGAGTCTGGGGAGGGAGAGAAACTCACTTTTTATCATATAGTCTTCTGTGTTGTGAAAAAATTTTTATCGCCTATGTGTTATTTACAAGATTTTTAAAATGCAAAAGGAATTAAGTTAATGGACAGAACTGTACTCATTTAAAATTTGCATCCCCAACACTTTTTTATTACCACCTGCTACTCAATAATGAATATTAATGAAAAAACTTGGAAACAGCTGATCACTCTTCTTTTGACAGCATGTATATTCATGGCACACATTTGTTTGTGGTTGTGATTAGAATACAGACATGTAATCTGGTCCTGTTTCCAGAATGGAATGTAGTTTAGCTAATTCTGAGGTTTCCTGCAAAGAGCCCCACGACCCTTAGGAGGCTCACCACCTGAGCCCGTGTGGGACCCCCAGGGTGAGTGAATGGTGCAAAGCTCGGGGGCGGGGGGAGGGGGCAGGGAAGGGCTGACGGGGGAGACCTGAGCCAGGACAAACAGCTTTAGACCCAAGTGCCCGGGTGATCTGTGCAGTAACCCTGGGGACTAGGTCTAGGCTGCGGGGACAGGTGCAGAGAAGGATGGGAGAGATGTCTCCTAGCACCACCTACAACCACTTGGGCTCCTGTCCTCTGTAACCAACAGGTGTCTTCTCGGTCACCCAGGAGACGGGCCTGTGCTTCAGGGCTGCCTTTGTTAGCGTGAGTCAGGACACCTCCCATTAGGGATCCTCTTTGTCCTGAAGAGCCTGGTCCAGCTTGGGTGGGGGGTCCGTCCCTGTCCACTGAGAAGGACCGAGAAACGTCTCAATCCCCAGCCTCCCATGTAGGTAGCCCCACCTGCCTCACCTCGGTCAGTGCCGAAGGGACTTTTTTCTGCTTCTTGAAGGCTGAGGGGTTGATGCTCTGGAAGACGGATGAGAAGGCGCTACTCGAGAAGCGGGTGGAGGACAGGGGGAAGCTCATGCTCACGGGCCGCCCTACATCAAGACAAGCGCCGGAAAGGGAGGTGAGAGTCCACGCGGATGGGCACAGAAGCCACGTGTCTGTGAAATCTGGGCTCCCGTCCCTCCCAAGATGGGACCCAGCCTCACTGGGGCGGTTCAGCGTGACTAGGAAGACGGGGACAGCCCCCTCTGCTAACACAAAGGCGGGGCTGGGGGCAGGCCTTCCCTGAGTGCTGGCTAGCCCCTCTTCTCCAAGTCTCCATGAGGCTGGGCTGTCCTCTCCCATGGCCTCAGGTGGCCCTGGGGGGTGGGGGAGGGGGAGTCTGGTTTTAGGCCCAGGATCCACCTGCTTTCCTTCCAGCTGACCCTGCTCTGCCGAAGCCTGTCCCCTGAGCAAGGGCTCTCACAGGCCAGCTCAGCTGCCTCGGGCTCCTTTACTGGAGGACCCTCAGCCCCTCCGCGACCATGACGCCTCTGCTCTCCATCTCGTCATCCTTACTGCAAAAAGGCCCCACAGAACACAGGCCTGCAGAGAGGGCCGCTACGCAGAGCAGACGTGAGCGCCGGCCAACCGTCCTCGCCACAGACGCGTGGACCCAGCGTTTCCCAAACTTAGCTGTCCATGGAACCCTTCCCCTGGGTGCACCTATGCACCTTCTACAGAACCAACGTTTGCGGAAATGGTTTCCTCCTTGAGGGCTGCTTTTGTTCAGAGCCTCCCCAGGAAGGTGGCTGGGAGAAGCCACGTGGGGAAGAAAGGGAGGGTGGTCCCCGGTACCTCTCATCAGGCCTGGGATGTCCCCGCCCCTCTTCTTCAGCTCCCCGTAGCAGCCGTCACACACCTTGGCCATGCGGTCCTTGAGGTACTTCAGAGGGTACTTGTTCCTTGAGCAGTTCCGGCAGACGATCTGGTGGGGTGATGCATGTCAGAGGGTCTCACCCTCCCAGCACGCACACAGCGACGCGTCCGCGCCCCCTGCCCACTCGCTCCCACCTCCTCCAGGGCCCCGTGCTCTGAGCACAGTAATTATGTTTCTGTGCAGGTGCTTATCTGTTTTTCTTTTCTAAAAATTTCTAAAATACATAACATTATTTTAGTTTCAGGTGTACAATGTAATGATTCAATATACATATATACAGTGGGCCCTCCATGTCTGTGGCTTCCATATCCCTGGATTCAACCAACTGTGGATCAAAAACATTAAAAATATTCCAGAAAATTTCAAAAGCAAAATGTGAATTTGCCGTGTGCTGGCCACTGTTTACACGGAATTCATGCTATGTTTATAACTATTCACATAGCATTTACACCGTATTAGGCGTTATAAGCGATCTAGAGGTGATTTAAAGTATACGGGAGGATGTGCGTAGGTTATATGCAGCTACTACACCATTTTACGTAAGGGGCTTGAGCATCCTCGGATTTTGGTAGCCACGGGGATCCTAGGATCCTAGAACCAACCCCCTGTGGATATCAAGGGAGACTGTACGATGAAATGCTCACCACAATGTCCAGCTAGCATCCATCTACCACATACAGTTACAATTTTCTTTTCTTGCATGAGAACTTTTAAGATCTACTCTCTTAGCAAGTTTCAAACATACACTACACTTTTGCTAACTATCATCACCATGCTGTAAAGCTGATCTGTTTTTCTGATGAGCCCGTGCCCTTAACCGTGACAGGATGCTTTTCATCCCAGGAAAACCACCACATCCGCTACGACTTCCTTTTGAGAGCTTGCTGGTGTAGTGGGATGGGCCTGGGATCTGGAGTCCTGGTGGGAGGGTATCAGTAAAAGGGGAATTAACTTCACAGGGTTGGTGTGAACATGCCCCACTCTGGGCCCGACACGCAGCAGCTGCTGGACGCCCCCCGGTCCCCACCCAACGCTGCCGCCACGCCCACGGCCCCCGACGGGGACTCACCTTGCCGCAGGCGTGACAGTGGTGGCGCCTCAGGGTGAGGGAGAAGTCACAGCCACAGTTCATGCACATCATCACGTGTGTGACAGGCACTAGGGTCGGGGGCCTCTCCCCCAGGCTGACCCCCAGCCTCTCCCGTATCTGGAACAGCGGAATCGGACAAGCAGTGGGGTCAGGAGACCAACTGGATGGACACCCCCCTACCCCGTACGGGGTGTGCACGTGTGTGGGCGGGGTGGACTCCTCTTCTACAGGCTCCCCTGCAACCCCCAGGGAGCTGACCTCAGTTACAAACGGAGCCGTAGGTGCCAGGCTCTGGGCTGCACAGTGATTATCCTGAGCCGGGCACAGGGAGGACCCAGGGCCCTGATGGAAGGAGATGCGAGGCCTCGTGGGTGTGCAGGGGCCCCAGGGAAACCCAGGTCTGTGAGACGGGTGCCCCAGAAACCCCGCTCACCTCCACGCTATGCTGGAAGGCAGCCAGAGCCTGGGCCTTGGAGTCCTCAGGGAGGGCTCTGCTCAGACAGCTGTGCCACTCGTCCCTCTCTGCACAGGAGCTGTGGGCATGAGCTGGAGTGAGCGAGGGGTGCACGAGGGCTCTGCCTTCTGCCCTCTGGGGGTGGACCACGCCCTGGTGGCCCCGCCCCTCCCCCACACCAGAGCCTCTCTCCCCCACGCCTGAAACCCCACTGGCCAGCCCAGCCACCTGCCAGACGGGCCAAGGCTTGCACCGCGGCACCTCTGCTTCCGAGCAGGCGGCCCCAAATGTTACTTGTATTCGGGCTCTGCCCGTAACAAGGGAACATCCAACACTGCTCCTCTAACTCCCAGGGCTGTTGTAGGGACCAAATGACACGTGTGGTGTGGAGGACTCTGTCGAGGACACAGCACCGTGCAAAAGCAAGGGGTCCCACACTTTAGGGGGGCAGGCTGGCAGGGGGATGAGGGCCAGGTACCACTGCGAGGGTGGGTGGATAAATGCTGGCAACGGTCACCGTCCCACTCTCTCCATCTTCCTCCTCAGTTTCCCACACAACTTCCCACTCACTCATCCAAAACGAAGACTTCCCATCCCTGCTCCGAGCCTGGCGGGGTCTCCTGAGTGGTGAGAGCCACACCTGGCCTGAGCTGCCCCAGAGCAGCTTCAGAGTGGAAATTCTCACAGAGCCCCCTAGATGTCATTCCCACCCCGTACTAAGTGTGTGGACTCAAACTAGAAGAAGGGACCGGTTTGGCCTGGAAGGGAGGGTGGTGGGCAGCCAGATGCCACATCCCTAAAAGGAGATGCATGAGTCCCCTGGAAGCTTCAGCATGAAGTATCTGGGGCTAGCAGGAAGGTGACTGGCCTGACAGTGACAGTGGCTCCTTGAGGCCACTGGCCAAAGGGCAGTGCCTCTGCCTAGGAGAGACAGGCAGCCCCACCTGAAGCGCTAAGCATGGCTTGTCACTACCCTCACTTCACGGTTGGGCAAAATGAAACCACACCCTGGGCCTCCTCATGCCCCTGATTTTACCTAGAGATAAGGAGAGGAGAGGCCATGGAAACCCACCCAGGCATCACCTCCTCCAGGAAGCCTTCCCTCACTTCCCCAGATGGAGGGGTCACTCCTTAGAATTTCCAAGGCTACTTTTTCCCCCTCAGGCAGTAGATAGTAGTGGAGAAGTGCTCTGGCTCACACAGTCCTGCGTTTGAACACCAGTTCTGCCTCACATGGATGTGGAACCCCTCTCTAGGCCTCAACTCCCTGCACATGGGAGGAGCTGCAGGCCCCACCTCCGAGGGTGGTGCTGAGGATCCGAGGAAGCGCCTGACACCTGGCAGGTGCCCAGTGTATGTCACCTTTGTCATCACTACTATTACAGCAGTTATGCTCTGCTAGGTCATAACTTTCCAACCTGTAAAGTGGGCTCTTCTGAGCAAACCAAGGCTTAGACAGTTTGTATCCTCAGCACAGGACTGGGCACTGAGGACGGGAAAGCGCATCTGTGACAGAGCGTGTGCGTCAGGCCGGAAGTCCCATCCCACACCCAGAACCACGCCCACAAAGGGACCTGCTGCCGCCCGGGTCACACGCTGGCTGGGAGGGAAGACACTCCAACCTGGGGAACTCTGTACCCCTACTCTGCCCAGAGAGGCCCCTGGCAGGAGCCCCCGCTCCCTGGTTTCTGAGCCCCTCCTCCGCACCCTGGCTTGACCTGGCATTGCCCCGAAAGAGGGAGGGGGGAGCCCTTTCTCTGCCAGAAGCCAGCGAGGAGGGGTCCCCGGGGCAGAGCTCGAGGGCCTAAAGAAAACAGCCATCTCTGATAGAAAGGCCTTACCCCCAAACAGGGAAAGTAAAATGATGAATGCTCACTCCTTATTTTTCTCTTGCTCTCCAGACCTGGAAGCCTAAACGCAGACCATTTTGTAAACTAAGGTGCACTACGCACTTTTCATTGGCTGTAACTTTTCTTACTGCTGCAAAGACCCAATAATCCTTAGGGTTTTACAACGATGAGATATTTTTATATTTAAGCAACGGGCTCTGGAAACCCCCGAGATTCTATGTAAAGTTTTATGTGTATGCTCATTTTTTTTTCTGGGGAGAGAAGCCATAGTTTTACCAGATTCTCCAAGAGGTCTGTGATCCCCAAAAGGACAAGAAATAATGAAAAGACAAAAGTCCTTTACCCAAAAGGATACCGAAATAAAAATGACAACACTTCCAGCACCTGTGATTCCAAATGTTCCCACCAGCAAAATCCTGCCCCTTCTGCCCCAGACCGTCCCTCCTCTCCCCTCCTCCTACCTTGCAGACAGGGTCAGGCAGGACTCGGAAGTCTCGATCTTCAGGGCATAGGGCACTTTCTCCATCACAGGGCGGCTGACCTGGAAACCAACAGCGGCCCCTCAGGATGGGGGCAGGAGGGGTTCTGCCACTGCCCCACTCTGAGCCTGAGTTTCCTCATTGTAAAGGGCAAACCTTTCTTACGTGGAAGATGGAGGGGTGTGTGTTTGTGTGTGTGTGTGTGTTTGTGTGTGTTTGTGTGTGTGTGTGCACAGGCGTGCGGTGAGGGCTCGGCTGCCGACTCCAACTCTGTGGCCACCAGCCCACACCCAGGAAGGCTACGAGCATCCCTCTTAGAACCCATCGTTCTGGACAAGTACCTGTCCAGTGGCCACCCTCCCTCACGGCCTCCGTCACAGACTCCTGAGCAGAAGCTTTGGTTCAAAAAGGGAAGCCGCCTCCCAGCTGAACGAGGTGCTTCCCTTCCCCTTCTCCAGGTTAGGAGCCTCAGGAGCGGGAAAGCCCCTGCAGGGCCCCTACAGCATGTTCCCTCCCATCCCTCCGCCCTCCCAAATGACAACCCACACCCAATTCCCCCACTTGAGTGCTCGCCCCTCTGACCCTGTCCCCACGCTGAGCTGGAATTAACTTCCTAAAACTTCCTACTCATTGAGAATCCCCTTCAGCTCCCAACCAGCCCCGTATTCGGGACCCAAGTTACAGCAAGTGAGGTCACAGCTGTGTCACTTTCCCTTCTCTCCAAGCTCACCCATGAGAATGTCCAGCTGGGCTGGCATCTCTCTCACATTTAAGAAATACCTGCCACTTGAATAGGTATTTGCACTCCCATGTACATTATTCACAGCAGCCAAAAGGTGAGGGCAACCCAAGTGTCCATGGATGGATGATGGGTACACAAAGTGTGGTCTACACATACGACGGAGTATTGTTCAGCTTTAAAAAGGAAGGAGATTCTGACACTTGCTATCACATGGATGAGCCTTTAGGACATTATGCTCAGTGAAGTAGGCCAGTCACAAAAGGACAAACATCGCATATGATTCCACTTATATGAGGTCCCCAGAGTAGCTAAATTCACAGAGACAAGAGAGTAGAATGGTGGCTCCCAGCGCCTAGGGGAGGGGGGATGGGGAATTAGTGTTTAATGGGGACAGAGCTTCACACTGGAAAGATGAAAAGAGTTCTGGGGTGGATGGTGGCAGTGGCAGTACAACAACGTGAATGTACTTGATGCTGTCAAATTGTACACTTAAAAATGGTTAATTTATATTATGCATATTTTACCACAATTAAAAAAAACACCTGCTTGTTTCCTCCCTCCAAGCCTTTCCTTATGCATTTCCCTCCTCCTAGGACCCCCTCCTTCTTTCCCTTCCCTATTTGTCCAAATATTATCCACTCTAAGGGACTCAGCTCCCCCACCCAGGAGGCCTCCCTCAGCCTCACTCTCCCTGGACTACCTACAACAGAATCCTGCTGTAACTCACAACCCAGGCTCCCTCACCTCCGCTGGTCTGTGAGCTCCACAAGCAGGGCTGTGTCTCTGCCTCCCCTGGGGTCCCCCCGCCCACCCCAGGGCACCCACCCCAGGTATCTACCTTCATGCTGGCCACCGCCAATGCGTTCTTCAGCCGGTACTTCCCATCCTTCTGGGGATACGTGTACAGGAGCACATCACTCATCTGGGGAGAGGGGAACCCCATCAGACATGTCTTGGCCCCAGAAGGCTGTGCTGGGTGTGTCCTGGAGCATCACTGAGCAGAGGCATCTTGCATTCCCCGTGACCCACACAGGAGAGCAAAACCACTCTGGAGTGAAACAGGACACCCTTCCCCACAATTCCACTCTGACACAGACACCCAGGAGGAACAAATGCAGATGCCCACAAAAAGTCAGGTATGGGGGGGTTTCCCTGGTGGAGCAGTGGTTGGGGGTCCGCCTGCCAATGCAGCGGACATGGGTAAGTGCTCCGGTCTGGGAGGATCCCACACGCCGCAGAGCGGCTGGGTCCGTGGGCTGTGGCCACTGAGCCTGCACATCCGGAGCCTGTGCTCCACAGCGGGAGAGGCCGCAGCGGTGAGAGGACCGCGTACCACAAAAAAAAAAAAAAAAAAAAAGTCAGGTATGGGAATGTTCCTAGAGGCTTATTCATAACAGCCCCAAAAGCAAACAACCCAAACGTCCATCAACAGGTGACTAGACACAGAAACTGTGATTCATCCACACCTCACAGCCACACAGTAACCACAGAGCAGACAGATACATGCCTGATGACAGGGTTCAACCTCCAACACATGCCAGGGAAAGAAGCCAGACTCTGGAGTACATGCTGCTTCATAACATTTATATGAAGCTCCAGAGCAGGCAAAACTAATCTATACTGATGGAAACAAGGCCAGTGGTTGCCGGGGGTGGGGGTGGGGGAAGGTGCCTGACAAGGGGCACAGGGCAACTTTCTGGGGGCTGGATATGTTCTGTACCTTGACCCAGGTGGTGGTCACACGATGATATACAATTGTCAACACATACTAACACGTACACTTAAAATTGATGCATTTAACTCTATATAAATTAAGCCTCAGGGACTTCCCTGGTGGTCCAGTGGTAAAGAAGCCACCTTCCAATGCAGGGGACACAGGTTCAACTCCTGTTCGGGGAACTAAGATCCCACATGCCGTGGGGCAACTAAGCCCGTGCGCCACAACTACTGAGCCCACGCGCCTCAACTAGAGAGAAGCCCGCACAACTAGAGAGAAGCCCACGCGCTGCAATGGAAGATCACGCATGCCGCAACAAAGATTCCACGTGTCGCAACTAAGACTCAACACAGCCAAAAATAAAAATAAATAAATATTTAAAATTAATTAATTAAGCCTCTACCAAGCAAAGTGAAGGAAGGAAGGGAGGGAAGGGGGAAGCTCCTTGGGGACAGGGAGCTGGTGTGTTCTATTCACTGCCGTACCTCCAGCAGTGCAGTAGGTGCTCAATTCATATTTGTTGAATGAACAACTGAAGCTTCCTGCCCTGAAGAAGGGCAGAGATGAAGAAACATAAGGAAAGTCACTTCTCCTCCGGAGAGAGTGCTTCTGTTTGGCTAAAAGTTTACAGCTTGAAGAGCCGATGTCACGCTCTGGGTGGGGCTTTGGGCCGTCAGTCCTGACCCTGCTCTGCAGCAGCTCTGTGAATTTGGACAAGCCGTTGCCCTCTCTGAGCCTCAGCCTCCTCACCTGCCAAGCGGAGGACATCCCTACCCCCACATCACTACAAACATTGAGAGTGGTCCCCAGTGAGCCCCTATGCGTGGGAGCCAAGGCAGACTAGGGGTGTCCTGAGGATAGAACAGGACAAGGCATCTCGGGGTCTGAAATGGAGCAAGAACTCAGGATTTACACTCCTCTCCCTGCAGACAGAGTCTGCTGAGGGGACAGAATGGGTGAGTTTTCCTGCCACCAGCTCTCCTGGCGCTTCTGGCCAGGGTGGTGCGGGAGACCCGGCCTGGGCACTGAGCTGCTGTGTGACCTCAGGCAAACCCTTCCTCTCTCTGGGCCTCACTGTCTAAACAGAGTTGGAATAGACCAGGGTTGGCAATTTTTTCGTAAAAGGCCAGATAGTAAATATTTCAGTTTTTGTGGGCCAGATGGTCTCTGTCGCAACTGCTCAACTCAGCTGCTACAGCCTAAAAGCAGCCACCGACAATCATAAAAGAATGCGTGAGGCTGCGTTCCAATAGAGCTTTCTGAACAAAACAGGCAGCAGGCCGACCCCTGGGTCAGAGGAACCTTCAAAGCCCCTTCTGGCTCTGTTCTTCTAACACTGACAAGAACTACTGGGCATTCCACATGCACTCCTGGGCAGGCCAGGTGCTGGGCTAAGCCCCCGGAATGATCTCAATTCATCCCCCAGCAATTCCCTCAGGCAGGTGCTGTTATTATCATCCCCATTTCACAGAAGGAGAAACCGAGGCACAGACTGGCTAGACAACCTCCCAGGATCACAAAGCTCATCAGCGGCAGAGCCAGGGTCATGAGTAAATGAGGGTGCCTCCAAGTGTGTGCAGGGTAGTGTGTTGGTGGTGGTCACACCCCGCCCACCATGGGGAACCCTCCTGTGTCACTACCACAGCAGTTCCAGCCTCCCTGCGGCTGCCCCTGGAGCCCCTGTTGCCATGGCAACGCCACGAGCACCCAGGGCTCTATGAGTGGTCCAGGACCACGCTGCCTGCCTTGCACTGCAGCACCAGTCAGCCAGAGGGAGGGGTTCTCACGGGAGGTGACAGGTGGCTGCGAGGAGGGAACAGAGGGAGAAGAGCCTCTAAGCTCAGCGCCCCTTGTGCTCTATGAGGAGTGGAGTGACCCACCGAGGTCGGGCTGGGGCCTTGGGACACGTGCCACAGAGGCTCCCCAAACCCTGATGGGCAGCCGCAGACGTGCCGCTTCGGTCAGGCTCAGGATTCCCCTGCTCAGGACCATGAGCCCTCTCTGGAATTCAGTCCCCAAGTGGCAGAGGGTCTATCTGAGGCCTGGTGTAGACCCAGCTCGTGAGTGGAAGACCCCATCTGCAGCCAATGACTCCACGAGACTCACAGAGGTCCTCCAGACACACCACGCTCCTCCCGCCTCTACGTTTGCCCATGCTGTTCCCACTCCTCCAATGCCCTTTCTTTGTCGGCCTGTTCCTACACACTGACTCAGAGCCTCTCTCCTTTTACTCTGCACACAATTGTAACAAAGTGTAAGGAGACTGTTAGGGCAGCCACAACTGACAGTAACAAGAGATGACAGCTAACGGCGAAGGAGCAGAGAGAAAAATTACATCCAGCAGAGAGAAGAACTTAAAAGGCAAAACTACTTGCGGGGCGGGGTGGGGGGGCATGGGCTGGGTCTCAGGACTGGGGCAAAGAGCTGCTTGTAGCTCAGTAGCCACTGAGGTTGATGTTACTATACCCCAGGCCTGGACACTCCCTGGTGTTCCAGACTGTGGCGGTAAATCATCAAAAATGTTACGTATATCCCATCCTGTGCACAGTGGAGAAAGGGCTGGGCTCGGGTCAGAACCCTGGTTCCGTTCTGGACCTCTGCCACCAACCTGCAGGGAGATCCGGCCAAGTCAACCCTCCTTTCTGGATCTCAGTTTTCTCGCTTGTTAGATAAGGCAGTTGAACAGCTATTCCCGGTTTAAGAACTTCTTGGTTTTAGGATGGGCACCTGGGTAGTTAAATTTTGGCAACATTCCCCTCAAAATCGTTCAAGTAATACATTAGGGATGGATTGTAAAGCCCTCAGCTTTCTGGAAAGCTCGGCTATTCAGAATGATCCGCACCCTAAGGATTAGGCTCTGGTCTAGTCTCCCCTTTGCTTGCAGCTGTCCTTGAGTACTGCCCCAGAACACTTTACAGAACGTGACAGTCCTGGGGCCTGGATGGGGGCCAGGTACTTACCAGAAACAGGTGTCGGGGGCGTCTGTTTTTCCCTGTTACTTTCATCAGTGTCCCTTCTTTCAGAAACTCCTGTGGGGAGAGAAGCAGACCTCCGTGGTCAGGCTGACACCCCCCTATGTCCTGGAGAAGGGTGGGGGGAGGCCCTTTAGTGGGAAACAAATTACGGCACCTCCCAGAGTACCAGAGAGCAACTCGTGGGAGAATTCCCAGCTTAGGAGACGTGCCCCGTGTTTGGTGGAGCAGCTCTGCGGACAGGCACCTGGCCTTTCAGGAGCATCCACCTTGAATTACACCAACCCCAGACACTGTTCCAGCCACAGAGTGGTCCAGACAATGACTCGCTTGCTGGTTCGCTACCACAAGGGGTCCAATTGGAACAGAGCCTTTGAAAGTTTGCTAAAATGGCTGAAGACCTGTGAACAGTTGCTACAGCCCCCTCAATTCTGGAGGATACAAATAGATGTTTAATAAATATTCACTAAACTGATGACTCGGGCCAAAACATTAGGTGTGACTTTACACCTAAGTGCAATCTCTCATTCTTTGTTCCTTGTCCTTCATGGACTGGAACAGGTAATAAACATATTTTTGACTATTCTTGAGCTGAGTTTTTTTTTTTTTTGCGGTACGTGGGCCTCTCACTGTTGTGGCCTCTCCCGTTGCAGAGCACAGGCTCCGGACGCGCAGGCTCAGCAGCCATGGCTCACAGGCCCAGCCGCTCCGCGGCATGTGGGATCTTCCCGGACTGGGGCATGAACCCGCGTCCCCTGCATCGGCAGGCGGACTCTCAACCGCTGCGCCACCAGGGAAGCCCTTGAGCTGAGTTTTATGTTTTCCATTTGGAAGCTTAAAGTGGATAAATTTGTCTCTTAAAAAATGTTATTTCTAAATTTATTTATTTATTTTTATCTGCACTGGGTCTTCTCTGCTGTACACAGGCTTTCTCTAGTTGCGGCGAGCGGGGGCTGCTCTTTGTTGTGGTGCATAAGCTTCTCACTGCGGTGGCTTTTGTTGTTGCAGAGCATGGGCTCTAGGTGCACGGGCTTCAGTAGTTGCAGCACACAGGCTCAGTAGTTGTGGCTTGCGGGCTCTAGAGCGCAGGCTCAGTAGTTGTGGCACACGGGCTTAGTTGCTCCGTGGCACGTGACATCTTCCCAGACCCGGGTTTGAACCCGTGTCCCCTGCATTGGCAGGCAGATTCTTAACCACTGCGCCACCAGGGGAATCCCCAAAAATGTTACTTTTAAAATGCTTTGTTGGGGTTCCTGAGAGATGGTTTCCCTGATTTCCCAGCAACTGGACTAAACTAAGAATACTGGTGTCTCTTTTTCTCAGAGGGACACGGAACCCAAATGGCACTGTTTCTTTAAAGGCCCTGAAAGCGGGAAAAGCCCAGGGGAGGCAGCTGGGGGGCCTGGGGAGCCCAGCAGAGCCCTTGCCCTCCCCCCACCCTCCTGGGTGAAAGGCACCTGCAGCCAGGCCTGCCTGGGGCCAGCCCAGCTGAACAATGGGGCTTATCAAGGCCTCGCCTGCCTGCCGGGCTGCCCCTTGCCCTTGCCCTTGCCCTTGGCAGCAGTGGTGGCACTCACCCTTCCTGGCTGGAGGAGATCCCCTTGGCCCCGAACGCTGTGCTCGATGTGGACCAGCTTCTGTAGGTTTTCCTGCGGGCGGGAGCAGGGCGAGGGGGAGATGGTCAGGACGCCTCATCTCCTCTGTAAGGACTGGCATTGTTTCCACTTCAAAGAAGGAAATGCAGCCCAGAAGGGACTTGCTTCCAATCTGACCTCCTGTCGGTGGCAGGACCAGGAGTTGAGCCTGGGTCTGCAGGATGCCACCTGTGTGGACTGCCTACAAGCAGGCTAGTCTCTCTGGGCCTGGGGTCTGACACTGCCATCTTTCTGCAGGCCGTGGAGATGGTCACGTGGCCTCACTGTGCCGTCCGATACCTGTTTGTCTCCCGGCCTCTGCTCCTACTCTAGCCTGTGTCCCCTGTAACGCCTGGAGCATCCGGACCTCAATAACCCAGACGTGACAGATGTCCAAGGCCGGACTGGCTCTGTGGGCTTGTGTCCTTTGTGGGGGTGGGGGGCGGGCAGGGCCTGAGAGAGAATAACGAAAAAACCGTAGCACCTGTGGAGGAAATGCTCTGTACTCCCTCAAGAAAAACAAGTGTGCCGGGAGCTCCCTGTCGGTCCCTCACTGGGAATCCACAATACGTAAGGTGACATGCCCCCCAGGCCTATGCACACCATCCCGTAAAATGAGAAATGACAAGCACCTAACCCATGGGGCACATGCCCCTTAACCTTTTGCAGGGTTGTTTCTAAAGCCAATGAACAAGGTGAAAATTGTGTGTAGAGAAACTGTCTTGAATTTCAGGCCTTGACACTGTCCCCAGTTTAGGGCATAAAATCCTACCCATTAGAAATGTATATAAGTTGTTCCACTTCTGCTTATCATGTAGGAGCTGCAAGGAAACCATGCCCCCAACCTAACAGGGAGAAAAAGCCATATCATCTGCAAAAGCATAACTCTTCTTATGCCTATGGGAGAGGTGGGGTCCCAAGGCCACTGGGTGAACTGAGTCCCAAAGACGGACCACAGCCCCACCATGGAAACACAAGAGGAACGAGCTATTCTGCCTTTGGCAACACATGGGGGAGGAGGTGGTCGGCATAAAAAAGGTGAGAAGAAAGCAGCTAAAATGTTGATAGATTCTTTTTTTTTTTTTTTTTTTGTGGTACGTGGGCCTCTCACTGCTGTGGCCTCTCCCATTGCGGAGCACAGGCTCCAGACGCGCAGGCCCAGTGGCCACGGCTCACGGGCCCAGGTGCTCTGCGGCATGTGGGATCTTCCCGGACCGGGGCACGAACCCGTGTCCCCTGCATCGGCAGGCGGACTCTCAACCACTGCGCCACCAGGGAAGCCCTGTTGATAGATTCTTAAAGGTCAGGTGTGGGCTGGTGGGACAGCTCAGAATAACAGGGAGCCCCAGACACAAGGGGCATCTGCAGTCACTTGCAAGCTCTTTTCCAGGAGTTTCTGCCAGATACTTACAAGGAAGACTGGGGCCAGAGAGAACCCCCTCTTGGTGGTGAAGGCAAGCAGGCTACCACTGGGGGCTGGAATAAAACCCTGCCCACTTCCACAGGCCCCTCTCTGGTACAAAACCCTTCAGTCACTGGGGGAGGTGGGGCAACCCTCCCACTCCCAGAGCCCAGGCAAAGAGCCGCCCACTGCTTCTGGGGAAAGGGCAGAAGCAAAAGATATCTGTTCCAAGAAGAGGTGGGTAACCTCTCAGGCCCAGGATTGTGCACCAACACAAAGCAGAAACCTGTCAAAGACCCGCCACAGACACACAGCAGAGTTTTGCCACCATGCAGAGGAGGGGCAGGAATGCTGAGAGAGCCTGGCTCACAGGCCCTACTTAAGACTGAGGCTTGTCCAGGAGAGCTGTGACCTATGAGCCTAGCACGGAGTAACAGGAAACAGTGGTCTACCCCTGAGAAGGGGAAGGGGCAAGAACAAGGAGATCTCCAAAGATGGAGCAGGAACATGAGAAAAACTCTCCAGCACCTCAGGCCCAACACACAGCATCAGGTAACAGCAGCCCCCTTCTGGAGGAGCGTGAAGTCTGTGGGGCTCTGAAGGCGAGGATGGTGACAACAAAACCTAAACCCAGCTCAACTACTGACTGGATTGATGCAACTCCCACCCTCGACATGAATGGCATGAGTAAAAAAGAAGCGTGTCCACTTCTGGAGGTAGACACTATTTCCCCCAGTCTCTACAGTTCTTCTACACATAATGTCTGGTATTTGATTAAACATTACGGCAAACACAAAAAACAAGAACAAACCCCAACTCATTTTCAAGAGATAAAGCATTCAAGAAAACCAGAATGTGAGGTGACACAGATGTTGGAGCCATCAGACAGGGACATTAGAATGACTATGATTCATATGTTAAAGGAGCTAGTGGAAAAGGTAGACAGCATGCATGAACAGACGGAAATGTGAAAAATAAGAAATGTGGTATCAGAAATGAAGAATTCCTTTGACAGGCTTAACAGCAAACTGAACACAGCTGAGGAAAGAATGAATGAACTTGGAGACAGGTAAGTTGAGATTCACCAAACTGAAACACAAAGAGAAAATAGAGTGTGGGGGTGGGGAGGAAGAACAGGGCATCCAAGAGAATTTTCCAAAATTAATGAACAACAACAAACCACAGGTCCAGGAAGTTTAAGAATCACAACAGGATAAATGCCACACCCCTCCAAAACACACATACTTAGATATCATAGTCAAACTTCTGAAAGTCAAATGTAAAGGGAAGATCTTGAAGGCAGCTAGTAAAAAAGGGACACTTTACATAAAGAGGATAAATATAAACATTGCAGCAGATTTCTTATCAGAAACTAGGCAGGCCATAAGACAGTGGCATGGCATCTTTGAAGTACTGAAAGAAAATATTGGTCAACCCATATTTCTATACCCAGGAAAAATATTTTTCAAGAAGGAAGGTAAACTGATCAATTAAATAAATGGATGTTGGATGGCAGGAGCCAGGTTTCTCCCTGTTGGAGTGGAAATTTACAGATAAGCCAGGGAAGGAGGCTGGAATGATCCATTTGGTAAGAATCAGAGTTGAAGACATCAGTAAGAACTCATATCTAGCTTAATACAGGTGGTTATATATAGAAATAGCTGTAAATATGAGTATATACACAGGTTGGTATATACACATTACTTTGCTCTTTAGCTAAGAGAATCTAGAAGAAATGATACCCCAATAGCAATGAGCAAACCTGGTGCCCAGATCTTGGTTTCTCATACCATTAACCAATTAAAGGAACCAAGCCTCCTTGGAGAAATAGCTGATTCTAGGACTGGGGCAGGAAATATACAACATGAACCTGGACCATCCAGTAGTGCCAGAAAGTAAGGAAGTGCTCAAAAAATAAATAAACAAAATAAAAATCCCCACCCAAACCCACATCAATGGGGGTATATGAAAGAGGCACAGGAACCAACTGGCCAGGTTCTCAATGGCCAAAGATGGAACAATTTGAGAAATAAAATAAAGTAGATGGGATTAGAACTCAAACATAAAATAAATATACGTGAATTCTTACTGATATAAATAATTTATTTAGAATTAGTGAATACATTAATAAATGAGAGAGAAGAGACAAATCTCCCTTGCAGAAGAATTCCAAATAATTTAGGTAGATACTCTCCTCTCAAGGAGAGGGAGCATTATTCCTCACTCCTTAAATGTGGGCTGTGCATAAGTGACTTTCCTCCAAAGAGTACGGACAGGGCAGGTGGGGGTGGAACTTTACATGGAGAAATCCGACAAACACAACCTTGGCCAGGTGATCACAGTCAACATCAACAGTCATACAACAGGTTGCCAGTATGTACCCTTCATATGCTATGATGAGAACAGTACTTTCTGTGATCTTCCGCCTAAACTACAAACCTAGTCTAATCATGAGAAAAACATCGGACAAATCCCAACAGAGGGCATCCTACACTATAACTGATTGGTATTCTTCAAAACTGTCAAAGTTATCAAAAACAAAGAAAGCCTGAGAAACTGTCACAGTCAAAGGAGCCTAAGGAAACGTGACATCTAAAAGTGACGTGATAAATATCTAAAAATCTTATATGTTCTGGTATACTGTTTAAGTCATAATTCTAGTTATTACTTTAAAATGTATATCTCAGAAATAACTAAATTTCCTTGTCAATTGCATTATTACGAACTTTCATCAAATCTTTAACCGTGGTCATTTTTAAGTCTTTTGTCATTTACAGACAGTTCTGGGTATACTCTGATGCTTTTGCAAAAATGTTCCTATAAAAGGGTTTCATCTTCAAGGAATTCATGGAAAAGACTCTGACAAGTAAAGGTTTCTGGTAACTGACCATACTGCTGAACTGGAAGAGTAAGCATTTTCAGAACTCTAATGGAAAACTGATGAATTCATAAAAGTGCTAACAAAAGATCAAGAATGAAAAAGAAATTAATTACATGGGACTGAGTGAACTGATGAGGATGATTATAATTTTTGTGACTTTCTGTTTGAATAAAAAAAAAATCCCACAAGGACTCAGAGGCAAAAAATATACAAATCAATTTTCACTGCAAAGTAAAAGAGCTGTTACAGTGGAGGATTACTGGACTGAATGTCAATATTATGACATAGTGTGAGTGTGTTTCATGTTCGGTAATTGCAATCATTGTTGCTTGCTTTTGTTGTGGTCACCCATTTACAATGCTTGGTGTCAGTTTATTTATCTCTTGTAAAATAAAATACAGTGTGTGTGAAAAAAAACCCAAAACAAACAAAAAAAATAAAAATAAAAGTGATGCAATATCCTGGATGACAACCTGGAGAAAACATTAGGCAAAAATTAAGCAAATCTGAATGGATTATGGTCTTTAGTTAATAATACTACATCAATATTGGTTCTTTACTGTAACAAATGTACCACGCTAATATAAGATGTTCGTAACAGGGGAAACTGTGGCACGCGTGCGAACTTTCTGTATAATCTTCTCAATGTTTTCTATACATTTAAAACTGTTCCCGAAAAAGCTCTATTCAGAAAGCAGAATGGTGGTAGCCAGGGGCTGGGGAGAGGTGGGGATGGTGGTGTTTCACACTGTGTGTTGGATGGTATGTGGGTCCCATTTTGGATTGGCGGCGTGGTGGGATCTGGCTTTTCCTGGAAACCATACCTCCAGCTATGACCTGTGTGAGGAACTGTGGTAATGGTTTGATGTGAGCATAAACCCCAAACGAACGCTGCCCTCCTCCAAGTAGCCTTCGCTGGTCCTCACAACCAATAAGTACTTTCCAGATTCTACTGAAGGCCATCTAGATTCATGGAAGACTTTGCAAAAAGGGGTTCTGGCACCATCAAACATATTTTAATAGGATCACTCTGGCTGCCAGATGGAGAATGGAATGGCAGAGCTGGGAGGTGATGAGGCCTGAGCTGGAGGGGGACCAGGGGGGAGGGGGAGGCAGAGCCCCAGTCCATCTTTCAGGAACACTCACAGCCACTGAGCTCTGCATCGGGGTTGGGTTATCTGGACCTGCCCGTCCATGGCTCAGGCAGAGTCCTAGCCCGATCCCAGCAGGCGTGAGGTGGAGGCCACTAGTCCAGAGCAGGCCTGGTGCAGTGTCCACAGGCAGCTGGAGAGACAACAGCCAGCCTGCATCTTGGCGTAGCATCAAGCCTGGCCCTTGGAGAAAGCCAGGAGGGTGTTTGGCCGTGGGCTACTCCAGTTGTTCCTCCAGGCAGGGGCCATGTGCAGGAGCTCACCACAGGAAGGAAGACACAGCCCTTCCTGACCTAGATTTTCCCTTTTGGAAGCAGAGGCATATCCCTCCTAAAGGGAAGTGTAGGCAGCCCAGCCCATCTGCTGCTACGTCACGACACGGCGCCGACTCCAAAGCACCTCTGTTTCTTGGCTACAGTGAGGGAAATCTCACTGTATGTACAAAATGCCAAAATGCCAGAGAGCTGGGAGCCCACGGACACCGGAGGGGGGTGGGTGCTGATGACAACAGCGTGTCTGACCCCCTGGATTTCGCACCCAGCTGTCTTCAGCCTCCACACTTGCACATGTCTCCACCAGCCACCTTGACTTCTCCCCTCAGACTCTTTTCCGACCGCACCTATGCTGTTCCCATCTTCCAGCCACGCTGGGTGACCCTCTGAACTCTGACATGTCTGGCACTTTCCCATCTCCATGCCTGTGCCCAGGCCAGGCCCTCTTCCTGGACCACCCTTGCTCCCTCTGCCTTCATGGCACACGCACATTCCTCCCTGTGTGGGCTCCTCCTGTATCACTGCTTCTCAGTGATCTCCCTGCTGGAGAGATGAATCCCTTCTCTGAACCTTGTAGCACTTTCTCTCTCTCCCTCACGATGTTTATCATGGTTCTTCATGTCCACGTATTTACTGCTCCACTAAGCTGTGATTTTTCTCAAGGGCTGGGATTCACGTCTTAGCTCTGCATCTCCAGACCCCAACACAAGACGTGACATGCAGCAGGGGTCCAAGAGACGTTATTTCCTTTCCCCTATTTCTATCTGCTGATGACTGATTACATGGATGCTCTGCATACCTGCCACAGCAAAGCTGAGCAACAGCTCGGCATACACACCACCATCACTCCCACCTCTGCCTGTGGAAGACATCACTAACCGATCACTGAACTCTTTCCCACTGGCCTAGGACTCGGCCTCAGAATCGTTCTTAACACACAGCTCTAGCATATTTACTGCTTAGAGGAGCAGAAAATATGTGGACACAAGTAACTGTGGTAACCACTGGAACAGAGTTGGGAGGTGGGATAAAACTGGCCATCCTGGACAGAAACGCAGTAAGCATCTGATCACCTCCCGAATGCAGAGTTATACACTGTCAGAACCAGGCGTGCTTTAGAGCTCACATGTTCTCGTGGATGAACGGCTCTCAAACTTTTGTGGGCCATTTATTTGGGGTGCTTGTTAAAAATGCCTATCTCTGGACCCTACCCCAGAAGTTCCAACTGGGAAGACCTAAGGCGTGCCTAGGAATCTGTAGTTTACAGACCACTCCAGGTGCTAACGCAAATGTTCTCAGACTACAGTCTGGGCACTACTTATCAGGTCTGTGCAAGTCTGCAGCCTCCCTCACTATTCAAATAAATGGTGAACTGGAGACCCAGAGAGGGACACACAGTACCTGAGGTCACACAGCACATGTCAGCGCCAGAACCCATGGCTTGTTGCAAGATCCCATGAGATAAATGGTTGCCTGCGCTCCTCACCAAGAAGTGGGGTATCACAAGGCAGACCTGTGCAGGGCGGAGGGGCTCCTGGAACCTGCAGCCAACGGAAGCTACCCAGGGCTGGACTTACCCCTTGCTCCATGCTGTCATTGGCGCGGTCTGTGACCTTGGAGATGAGGGTCAGCGAACCTACAGAAAGAAGCAGAGCCGAGGGCTGGGCCTCCTGGGGCGGGCCGGGCTAGCTGCCACCTCCTCGCCTCTCCCCACGCAGGATCCCCGCAGGGCCTTGTGTATGGGTGGCACCAATTCTTCCCATGGCCGGATCAGGTCACTGGCCCAATCCCAGCTTGGCCACTACCACCTAAGTGACCTTGACAGTCACGTGACCACCCCATGCCTCAGTTTCCTTGGCTGTAACTAGAATATGTTAAAATAGGGACTGCCCCGGCAGGTCGCATGCAGGGACAGCCACACAGAACTGGGAGGAAACAGGGAGTCTGGGTGAGATTTTTAGACCTGGCACTACCTCCTATCACTGAATTCTGATCACCTCCTTCTCCTCCTCTGACTGGACGTCAGCCCATCCCAGGGAGTCCCCATGGTTGAGGTGAAGGGGAGTCACTTGGCAGCCCCGGAGGCCTCACGTCCCCTGCACACCCAGCTGGGGGGAGGGGGCTGTGTTGTGTGCCTGGCATCTGGTGTAGAGTCCAGAGTTGGGGAGAGGGACCAAAACAGGAATGTATCCCCTTCCTCTGGGTTCACACCGGACTTACCCTGTGTGTTATCGTACTCAGCCGAGTCCGGGCAAAGGTTATTTAAATAGTCTGCAGACAGAACAAGAGCCAGGAGTCAGTTTGCCCTGGGGAGGCCAGCCCCTCGTGTCCACAACAGGAGCCCCTCTGTCTCCAGAGACGGAATGAGACTTCCAGAAGAATGAGGTGCCCACCCTCTCTTCTGTTAGCCCATCACAAGAACACACTGGCACAAAACTGGGCCCCCAGAATCACCACCAGCATCACGCCCACCACCGCTAGTCATTTATTCACTCATTCCACAAATATCTATTCAGCACCTGCTGTGTGGCTGGCACTGTGCTATGCCAAAGAAGCACACAGTCGGCTGGGGGAGACAGCTGTGGCCACCAACATGGTAGAGTGGGAATGTGTCAGATCCTTAACACATTTACACGCGTAAGGCTCGACACGGGCTGGTCTTGCTCCAGCTACCTCTCCATGCCTCTCGTTTAGTGGGGCAATGTAGGCATTCTTGCTACTTCTTGAACGTGCCAAGCTTGCTCAGACCCCAGGGCCTTTGCACTTACTATTTCCACCACCTGGTACTCTCTTCTTCCAGATCTTCATATCGCTCATGTCCTCACTTCACTGATATCTCTGTTCAATGTTACCTCCTCAGACAGGTCATCCCTGAGGGATGGATCTAATACAGCATCCCTGTTCCCCTGAATGTCCTCAATCTGCTTTATTTTTCTGTAAAGCTCTTATCACGGACATATTATACTTTTACTTCCTTATTTGTTTGTTCGAGTATAAGCTCCATAGCGTCACAGAGTTTGTTTAATTCACTTCTACCTTTCCAGCATTTAGCACAGAGCCTGGTACACAGTAGGTGATTCATAAATACTGGTTGAATTAGATGAAAAAATCCTCCATCTCCTGGCCCTAATGTCTTTTCTTACAGCCTGGTTGGTCCCTGGAGTTACATGCCTGTCTCTATGTGTGTAGTTCCATCTTCCCCACCAGAGCACCAGCTCCTGAGCCAGGGGTCTCTGTCCATTTAGAAGGCAGTTGCTCAGGACAGAGGTAAGAGTGTTTCTGGCAGGCAGAGGTAGGGGAGGGGATGACGCTCCTGAGGGAAGTTTGTATAGAAGGAAGAAACAAGGACCTGGGGCAGAGCCCCAAGAATCACTGACATTTATGGGGCCGTGGAGAGTGGCCAGTAGAGATGGAGAGGGAGCGGTCAGAGGGGTCAGAGGGAGGCAGGGAGAGAGTATACCACAGAAGCTCCGGGAGGAAAGGGCTTCGAGAAGCAGGAAGTGGTCAGCGGCAAAGCCACAGAGAGGGCCAGCAGGTCCAAGGGGGAAAACATCCGCTGATTCAAGAGGGCTTTGGTGATAAGACAGCTTTAGGGAAATGAGACCCACTGAGCCAGGGAGCAAATGCAGCCCAGGGGAAGGTGTGAGTTCCTGTGTGTTAGGACGGAGAGGCTTAAGGGAGACGTAGCAGGTGGCCACTCGGGCAAGTTTCCACATGGCAGCAGGGGATCCAAAGCTCAGCCGGAGGGAAGGTGGTGGCTGGGCCTGGCACCTCTGCAGGGGGTGACGGCATTCTTCCTCTCACCCCTTCCTGCTACAGTGGGAGGGGAAGTCTCATCGCATACCTTGCCAGGCCTCCCCCACCCCTCTGCAGGTGCTTCCCCTCCCCACACCAGCTCGGTACACCTTGACCTCCTGTGGGGCCCACCTGTGAGGAGCACTTGGTACTGGAACAGGCGCTGAACCACCCTCAGCAGCCGGTGCTTCACGTTCTGGCCACCTCCTTGCTGACTCTGCTGCTCCCAAGAGACAGGAGAACAAAACTCCATCAGAGACCCCTGCCTGAGGTCTCCGGGCTTACGGCATCCCACATGAGCCCATCCACACATGTTCCCTCCATGCCTTCTCCTGCCAGGCTGAGCATCTCCAAAACCAGGTTCCCCTCCTCCAGGGTGTCCTCCCAGATTAGCACCGCCCCACCCTGACAGTTCATTCTTTCAGGCTCACAGACTGTGCTACACTCAGTTATACATCGCTCCCAGACCCTGCTTTGCACCTAATGTTAGTGGTAGAACAAAGTCCCTGATTTTGCTGCCCAGTAACTGGATCCCCAGTTGGTGGTCATTTGTTGGGCACTCCAGTGGCTTAGGGCCCCAGCTTGCTTTGTGCTTCTCTCCTGGACAGAGAAACAGCTACTAAAACTCTCCCCATGGCTGGTGCTCATGGAGTTGTCATCAATGGCCCAATAGGGGATGTTCTGGGTTTCCCCTCCTGCTGGGTCACCCTCTCCACCCTACCCCCAGGTCTGCCCATCTGCCCCACTAAGAAGCCCCAGTGATTTGCATTAAGCCCTTCCATGCCCACCCCCACCCCTGCATCCTTAGAGCGGGTTCTTGGACTACCGACAACCCACCTCAAATTCTCGGACGGCAGCTGCTAGCCGGGGGGCATGGAGGCAATTCTCACCCAGCAGACTCAGGTACCTATCAAACTGCTGGATGTGAGCGGCATGGTGCTCAAACTCCTGCTCCCGGGCCAGGAAGACATCAGCCACCTTCTGCTGGCTCTCCCTGCAGCCAAGGAGGGGGCGGACAGGACAGCAAGAACTCAGCCTTGTGACCACACGGTGTTGGACGGTGAAGGTTGGCATTGCATCCCCGGTCGACTCTCCCACGGTTGTTTTACTTTGGGTGAACGACCTAACCCCTCCGTGTCTCAGCTTCCCCACCAGTCAAATGGAGACACCATTTCACATGGTGGGATTTTTACCCCACCTCCTGCATTCCCCAAGGCAACGAGGTGGGGACGGGGGTCCGGGGCCACTCACCAGTGTGACAGCCTCTCCTCCAGCTCCTCCAGGATCCCCTGGTGAAGGTCGCGGATGGGTGGGAGCTCACTCAGGCCACGTCGCAGCTCCTCCCTGGCCAACGTGTCCTTGCCCTCTTGGTCCATCTCATCCAAGGCCCCCATGACAGCTCCATGGAAATCCTGAAACCCCGAGAGGCCTGTTATGCATGAGTCGACTGGACTGAGCACAGTCCCCCAGGCAGCTCCTCCGCGGCTTTGGAGCCCTGGGTACATACTGATGGCACAGGACCTCACACCTGTGTCTCAGACCCTGTGAAATGGGGGTGACAACACGCACCTGGTGATCACAGGTAACTGATGCCCAAAGAGCCCCCCACGGCTCCCAGTATGGAGTAGGTTTAAAGCATGCTCATTCCTCCCCTTCCTTGTGGGACCTTGGGTGCACACTCTTCTTTTACAAGATGGGTAAGAAGTTGGGTAATTCCTTCTCTGAAGAAATACACAGCTCCTGCTTTACAATTATCCATCTCTGAAGAGGTTCATGGGCTGTTCTTTCAAAACAAAGTCTAAAGAAACTATAGGCATCTGCTCCCTGGTGTAAAAATGGTGAAGATGATGACTGTAAAAACATTCATGCGTAGTGCTAAGAAATCAGGAAGGGGTACAAAGCTGTCTTCCTACCCTAACACAGCTGTGTAAAAAATGAATAAAGGAAAAAGCTGAAAGGGAATGAAATGTAAACAGTTACAGTGTCAGGGGTATAGAATTAGGAATGATTATTTTCCCTTGTTGCCTCTGTTTTCTAAAATTTCTGTATCATGATTACATACTTTAACAATTAAAGTAAATTTAGGGAGTTCCCTGATGGCGCAGTGGATAAGACTCTGCGTTCCCAATGCAGGGGGCCTGGGTTCGATCCCTGGTCAGGGAACTAGATCCCACATGCATGCCGCAATTAAGAATTTGCATGCCACAACTAAGGAGCCCATGTGCTGCAACTAAGGAGGCTGCGAGCTGCAACTAAGAAGCCCGCCTGCCACAACTCAGGATGTCACATGTTACAACTAAGGAGCTGGTGAGCCACAACTAAGGAGCCCAAGAGCTGCAGTTAAGGAGCCTGCCTGCCACAACAAAGACGCAGTGTAACCAAATAAATATTTTTTAAAAATTAAAGTAAATTTAATAAACATTAAGATTATAAAGAATGTACGACTTCTTTCTCACAACAAAAATGTCTGATCTTGGGTTTCCCTGGTGGCGCAGTGGTTGAGAGCCCGCCTGCCGATGCAGGGGACACGGGTTCGTGCCCCGGTCTGGGAAGATCCCACATGCCGCAGAGCGGCTGGGCCCGTGAGCCATGGCCGCTGAGCCTGCGCGTCGGGAGCCTGTGCTCCACAACGGGAGAGGCCACAACAGTGAGAGGACCGCAAAAAAAAAAAAAAAAAAGTCTGATCTTCAAATAAACATGCTCTTACATGAGACCCAGTACTACGGTTTTAAATACATGGACTATCCTGAAACCACCTTGAATCCTGAAGCAATGCACATCAGGTGAATCTCAGCATCAGCAGCCATGGTCCGGCCCAAATCCAGAAGGTGACGTCACCTTGTCAACATTCAGGAAGGACGACCACCCTGCCTGTTCAACTGCCTCCCTGATGGGGAACTCATTATGGGCAAGACAGTTAACCCCATTGCTGAACAGTTTTTACTGTTAGAAAAGTTTCTTTACATAGAGATCTGAAAAGGGAAAGTGCCTGAGAGGCAGGGAGGTGGATGGGGCAGACGGAGGCAAAGGTGGAGAGGGAACGAAGAGAGCAAAGAGAGCAGAGGGAGGGGTGCTGATGGAGAGAGCGAGACAGAGAACGGGAGGGGCAGAGACCCGGGGAGACTCTCTGGCTGCCCCGGAACATCTGTAAAGAGGCCACTGTGCTCCAGGAAGGGCAGCAGATGTGGAGGTTGCAAAGGTCCCCACTTCCTCAACACCTCACCCCGTCCTGCGTCCGGGAACGGCAGGAGGGACACGGCAGGAGGGCCACCCTGGCTTGCACTCCCAAGGAGCGGGGATGAGTTGGTCCTGTCTGAGGCCGGCCCTAGCCAGCCCCAACACTCAGGTCGGAAACTGGGTGGAGAGAATGTGTGTCCTTAAGTGGAGGCCACACTCTTGAGCCATAATTAGAAACTGAATCGCATTGTACCCGAGCTACCAGAGCCTTTCCTGAAAGCAAGTTTAGGAGGATGGAGAAAGTATGAATGACAATGAAAGGGCAGCTAGGTGGGGATGGCAGCCAGCAGGTGGTGCTACTGAATTCTTATTTCTGCCTACAGCTGGCTCTGGGACACTTGGGGTCATCCTGAACCTGGAGGGGAGGTTTCTCTGTTGACCTTGACCTGGCATGGGAGGGCCCACCCACTCCTCCCTTCGGCGTCTCTGTGTTCACTAGGACCCAGTCTCCAGCCCTGCAGGGTCTTCTCAGCTGCGGCATCCCACAGAAAGAGAGAAAACGTGCTTGATGAGGCTGATAACCCCTCCTGCCTGGCAGCTGGTGGACAGAGGACTTTAACACACCCCCTTATCGGCTCAGTGCCAGGTTCCAGCACAGCTACCCCAGAGGAGGTCACGGGCAAGCTGTCAACCTATCTGAGCCTCAGTCTCCTCACCTGGAAAATGGGGATAACAGTACCACCAGGTATCTACAAAGTGAGGCTCCTGAGAGGCTCATCCTGATGTTTGAAACTGCTTTGTAAACTATAAAGCGCTATTCCTGCGGCAGCAATGGTTCAATTTTAGATATGACATCTCCAGAGCAGGGCCACATCTGTTGGTTTCCTCCCATGCTTCTGAAGTCCAGCAAAGCATGCGACACAGAGGTGTTTTATAATACTTGCTGATGGATGCACTGCAGCGCCCTTATTTACCAGAAAAGGAGAATGAGTCACGGGGGAGCCAAGACCCGAATAGGGTCACCCTGATACGCAGACCACAGTACACAGAAGGGGGTGGAGAGGGAGAGGGAGTGGGAACACGAAGGACAAGCAAAGACAAGGCTGATGGCTGCATTTGCATCACACTCCAGGGAGCTTAAATATTAATGGCTTTGCAAGCTGGCTTCTCATCTGTAATTAATTCTCACTCAATTGACTCAGTCCCAATGGGCAGGACGGCCACCAACAGCATGACTCATTCCTTGAACTAGAGCACAATCGGAACCGTACAGACATCCTTTCTGCAAACTCGCATCGGCTGGAAACGTGAGGGCCCGCCGCCCCATCCATTGCTCCCTGAACGGTTTCTGCCATCACCGCACCTGGGGGCCTGGCAGCCACCACAGAGGGAGGAAGGGGGTAGAAGATCCGTGGTCCTCATCTCCTTATCACTCAACAAATATCCTGAGCGCCTGCTCTGCCCCAAGCCCTGAGGGGACAGTGGGAACAGGAGAGATGCTGTTCTGCCGTCAAAGAGTTTGCAATCTAGGGGAAAAGCACTGAGCAAAACGATGACGTCAACACAGGGGTGTAACTGCTGTGACGGGAAAAACACAGGGGCTGTGCAGACCACGGGAAGGAGACCCGGCTTATCACCAGGGAGGCAACGCCCACACTGAGACAAGAGGGGGAGTGTTCCAGGTGTGGGGACAGCACATGCAAAGGCCCTGAGGTGGAGGAGGAACCGAGTTGGGTGTGGTTTGTGTGCCGTGGGTGTGTGCACGCATGCCGCATGCAGGACTGGAGCATGATGAAGCTGGAGGGTCAGACAGGACCCATCCCACAGGGCCCTGCAGCAGGCTTAAGGGACTTGGGTTTCATCCTGGGGTGGTGGGGAATCACTGAAGGTGCTAAGCAGGGGAGCAAAGTGACCAGGTTATCTGTCTTTAAAAGTTCACTTTGTTGGGAGAACAAACTGGAGATGGCTGGAGTGGGAGACCAGTGAGAAGGCCGTTCCAGTCGTCCAGAACAGGGGAGAGGCCAGGACCCAATGGTGTCATTGTGGGAGAGAGTGCACGGACCAGAGTCGGTAAGGAGTACGAAGTGACTGGACCCCATGCCTGCAGGGTCCAGCCCAACCCCCTGGGGCACCGGAGGCCTTCCTGACTCGGTCTACCCTCTCACATACACGCCTCCCCCGCTCTGTGTGGAGTTCCTGTCCCAACCCTCGAGGGCTCTAGAGAACGAGGACGAGTCCTTGTCTATCTAGACGGTTGCCTCCATGTGACCTGGGGCAAGTCACTCCATCACCATGGACCTCAATCTCCCCCTCTGCTAAATGCGGACACACGTACCTCTGCACAGGGTTTGTGCAGACCTCCTTCTGTCATGTTTTAGGAAGATTCGTTTCTGGGCCTTGCTTCTCCCCTAGACTGAGTGGTACTTATCTCTGTGCCCTGAGCACCCAGCCCAGGGCAGGTGCTCAACAAACAGCAACGCTGATGGTTACCGAACGCTTGCATTATTATTATTTCTATTTTACCAATAAGGGAATTAGGCCCAGAAGGATTAAGTAACTCTCCCAAGGCCACCAGATGGTGAGATTTGAGCCCACGTCAGCCTGACTCCAGAACCCTGGCTCTTCCAGCTGCTTCACGCCAATTCCTCCTCTTATGACTGGCCCAGACAGGTAAGTGACTTGCTCAGGTCAAGGAGGGAGACTGGAGCCCAGATCTCCAGAATCCTGGCCAGGGCTCTGCCCAACCTCAGAGACCCTGGGGCAGCCTGGGAGAGAGGCAAGGACGGCCTATGCCTCTGGAGCCCAGACGAGTCTCCTGGGAGCTCACGGGGTTCCCAGGACCCTGCTCTGGACATGCCTGCAGTGGATGCAGGGACCTCACATTCAGGGGCCTGGTCCCCTGGCTCCTTTCCCCTTCTCCAAACCACTCACTGCATTTTCTGGGTGACATGGCATCTCCATTCTCTGGGCTAAACAGTTAGTGGGTGGCCAGAATGTCCTGCTCCTTGCAAGTGGTCAAACCACTGATGGTGCTGCCAGAAGTCAAGTGGACGCACTGGAATCCCATGAGTCCAAACGTACACCAACATCAACCTTGACCCACCTACGTTATAACTGCGCCCTGGCAGAAGCCGTGAGCTGTCCAGGGCACATGACTTCATTTGACCTGGCCAATCACCGGAGGATACTTTGGAACCCTGAATATGTTTCTGTGGGGCACGCAAAGACTTTTTAA